CAGACAGGGTCGTCCCAATATGCGTTTTTGCAATTTGCATATAGGCAAAAACGCATAAAAAGGAGACATTTGGAAGCAGCTCGAGCTATCCGCTGGCAGAGCTTTCGATAGTTCTTTCTTTCGAAGTAACTTGGTAGAAGCGTTGGTATGATCCTACTACTGGTAAGAAAGACGTCTGTTAGGGAGCAGAGCAGTTTTTGAAAATGGTTATGACCGAAAAAAGTCAAACCACCTACCTGTCTTTACATCCAGATGCGATGAGATAGACCGCCACACCACGGACCTTGTCTGCGCTGGAGCACCTTTATTCTGATGCTGTACGCTGTGCGACACACGCTTTTAATAGCTACTAGCTTTTCACAAGATTTCTGCGACAATACGAACCAGTAGCAAATCATCATGGAAACGTAGAAAAACTGTCGAAAGCTACATTGCGTTTACCGAAAGACCTTTCCGGTAACTCAAAAACAGTTCGTTTCAAATCATTTTTTGAGGTTGCATTATAGCAACAAATGTTACAGAGGAACAAAATGTACGCTATTTTGAAGCATCTGCTTGCTCCTGGAAGATACTACATGTTTCGCGTAGCAGCAGTCAGCTTGCATGGCAGCAATGGATTCTCAAAAAGCAGTCAGCCATTCAAACTCTCGAAAGGTGTGTGCTTCCTGAAAAAACAACTGTTCAAAACTACCAAAGTCTAGAGGTGTATTTGTAAATTCATGAGCTGTAAAGAAACAGTTTGACAGAGGTCTGTCAGATAATTCTATTAAAGCATAAATTCCAGAGCCGCGAGCGCCGGGACCTCCTCGTGACTTGTCACTGGTTAATTCAGAAGTGGATGAGAGAAATTTCTGGAAGCAGCGCATCAAATGGACTCCACCACTGTCTGAGCTACCGGTCAAAAATTATCTCGTAAGTAATAAGCATTGTCATTAATAGGCTCCACTCTGTTAAATGAACATCAGTTCTGCAATTTTCATTTCTGTAGTTGATTTAGCCAGAATTTTTGGAGAATAATCTAATTGGAAGGTTGCAGTAAGGGGGGAGGGGCGGGGGGACGCAGAGGGGAAGGAGAGAGCAGCATTATTACCTATGAGAATCCATGACCTGTAGCTCAGCTTTTCAAAGCAAAATTGTGAAGTGACTTTGCGGCACATCGCAATGTTGCGTGACTTGGAATTTGTGAAAGGGATTGATTATACAATACAATAAACAAACGGGTGGATTTTCTCCAGGCATTTCCTATTATTTTATGTTATAGCTTTCGTGGCAAAAATCATCAGCGAAGCAAGCTGCTGCATACGAAGAAATGCTAAAGCGCCGATCGAGCTTTGAAAAGCAGGAGAAGCGCTCAGCACTGAACGCGGAGGATGATGAAAACGAGAGCGATGATGGTATCTTGGAGCGGGAGCGAATGTCCATTGTTGTGCCGCCTTATTACTCGTACGCCACTATTGAGCAGCTGCAACCTGCATCTGTTTATTTGGTCGAAGTATGTATTTTTTTTTTCTTTTTTTGTGACGTAGGATGAAGATTGAAGATTTATATTAAGGCGTGAGTCATCGTTGGTAATTCCAGGTTTGCGAAGTCAGTAACAAATTTAGTAGGAACGTTTGTCAGGTTCCTCCAAGTGCCCGTATGAAGCTCTTGATGCAATAGGCGTGAAGTTGTAGCGCGTTTTTGGGGTTTTCCTGCTTTACGTCCTCACTTACCATTCAGGGTGCCTCAGGTGGGGCTATTTGCTTCCATTCGTTGTCCACTATAACTGCAGACGAGCTTATTGTTCTTTCTGAGTTCCTCCAAGGAATTTCTTTGTTTCACGCGTACGTCATGTCACTTC